ATAACAGAAACAGTCCGAGTATTTTAGCCCTGATAAAACAGTATCTAGAACTCGCTGGAAAAAGGAGGGTGCCACAGAGAGTCCAAACGGCAGATAATTGAAGCAGTATAATGAGTCCTGGGTGGTAAATGATAGAATGTGTCGATCCTGTTCTCTTACGGGAATTTGCCAAAACCCGCAATTTAGGTCAATAGTTGCGAAGTATTTTGAACCTTGTAAATAGGAAAGGATATCCTCAATAGATGGTAACGGATATGAATCTTGACGAATGATTTGGTTCAATGCCCTAAAATCCACGCACATTCGAGCGCTTCCATCTGATTTGCTTACAAGTACAACTGGAAAAGCATATGGACTTCGACTATGTGAGATAATTCCAAGTTCTAATAGCTCACTGACTTGTTTCTGTATTTCTTGGCGTTGTGAAAGTGAGTATCTGTATGGAGACATGTGTATTGGTCGATTGTCCGTCAATTGGAGTGAGAATTCAGCCATGTTACATTTACCAATGTCCTTCTTGTCGTAAGCGAAAACTTTTTCATAATTTTTGAGTACATTAACCAAATTTCGTGTCTCCTGCTCCGATAATTCAGCTCCAACATTTATTTTTCCATCGCCGAAGTTGATTTCCTTTATCGTTTCCTCAGTTAGATTTTCCTCCTCCTTCTCGTGAATGGAGAAAGCGACCTCTTCCTCATAGTGGTCGTAAGCGGTAACTCCTGCTAAGCATAAACCGATAGGTACAGTTCTTGTGATGTTACTGGTATTTGTCATGGTCACTTCCGATTTCCCGTTCTCAAATCTGAGAATTTTGTCTCTCACTTCCAGTCCATACTCATCCTTGACTTGACTCATTTCATAGAGCTTCCCCCACTTGAAAGTGTTATCATCGTGATCAGCTAGCATAGCCTTGATTATCTTAGTGCCTCCTGGTGGCAAAATGTGTCTATCTAGACTTATCAATCTTATCGGATAGAAAGGTTCCATTACACAACCGCATACCGGTTGGGCCTCATCTTTTAACCTTCCGAAATCACATGTTCCGTCCGTCCAATCGATCTTCAGTCCTGCCAATTTATTGAAATCATTTCCCAGCAATAGATCAAAGGTGAAATCCTTCACCACGAGAGCGTACACGAGTATTCCAGGGTTACATGAATTTGTTGTAGTGATGGTCGTTGCAATTTCGCCAACAATTGGAATGGGTCCAGTGACAGAGGTGATTTTACGTCCGCAGTCCTTGTTAATTGGTTTGCCAATTTTCTCGGCCAATTTCAAGTCAATTACAGTTGCCATCGAACCCGTGTCCACCACTGCTGACATTTGAATACCTTCAATGATCATCTCTTTGTAGAGCATGTTGCTCCGCCTCCCGTTTCCTTCGACCTGGAGTGAAATCAATGCAGTATCATTTGGTAGTCCTTGTTGGTTTGGGTTGTTAGAGTTGGGATTCTGTTCACCTCCGACTGGGGCAGCCCTTTGGCTTGCCTGATTACCTTGCCAACCTTGATGTTGTTCTCGGTAATTTGTATTATAGTTATTTTGGTTGTATCTTGGACCCGTTTGAGCCCATCCGTTATTGTAGTTATGGTTGTAGTTTGGTTGATTAAATGGTCGATACGACAACTGGTTATATTGTTGATTATTGTAGTTTCTTTGATATGGTGGCTGGTTATTGTTTCTTTGATTATTTTGTTGATTATTATTTTGATTATAGTTGAAACTTTGGTTCTGCTGATTAAATGACGGGTTGTTATTTGGTCGGTATCGATTTTTGCGGTTTATTTCTTCGGTTGAAGTCACAATTATTAGCTTTATGTCCCACCTTTCCACATTGCCAACATACTGGCTCGCCTTGTCCGTTTCTGGTATTATTTCTATTATCTGCTTCTCTCATCATTTTTGTCATTCGTGACTCAGATTTCTCGACCACTTTGTCCACTACATCTTTCATAACTGTTGCCATGACTTCAGCGATCCCTTTGGAATCTAAAGAGTTCAGATTCTCATTACCATAACCATTAGCTTTGAACCCTCGTTCAATTAACTTGGCCTTGACAGCCAATTCATCCACTGTTTCGGACCCGTGAACATATAATTGCCTGACGATCTCAGGATTCATTCCCTTCTGAATGTGATGGATTTTCTCTTTCTCGTCCATTTTACTATTTATTCTATTACACAAAGCTTCTTTCGATAGAATATAATTGGCCACTGGTTCGTTTACTCCTTGGATCCGTTGCTCAAGAGTCTCTCTTAAATAAGTCTGTTGATCAACTGGCAAAAACTGTTCTTTAAATAACTTTTCAATAACATTCCACTCAAACGAGCTTCCACTAATCTTAACATTGAACCAGTCCCGAGCGACCCCCGATAGAAAAGTAGGCAACTTAACGACCTTTGCATCCTCATTCCATTTATTCGACTTAGCAATATACTCGAATTCTTCCAACCATCGAACGACATCTTGACTTGGGCTTCCAGAAAAATTTTCCAATTTACGAGTTCCATGACCACTCAGCGTCATTTGCAGTGACTCCATAATAAGGTTTCGTACATCGTCCGCTGACAAAGTTCCACTGGGAGTTTTAGGCTCCATAGTATATTCTGTAAATATTTGATTATTTGTTTGAAAAAGTTAGAGGGGAAAAAAATGAGAGAGATAAAAATGTAGATTATTAAGATTCGGATAATTCAATAAAATTTTGATTAACGATCAAATTCAGTTCCCCAACAGCATCCGTAGCAGCTTCTCATCAGCTCTTGGTTGACAGCTCTACATGTAAAGTAAACGATTATGAATTCAGTTAATATTCCAATAAGTAGAATTAAAAGTTCAATAGTTTCCATAAATTTATTACTACAATATGAGTTGATATTATTTTCTTACGTGTTATTTCCTTTGGAAGGTGACTTACTAGAGCAATTTTATTTTATTTTTTTTTTTTTTTACTTACTTAAATATCCAGGAAATATATCGTTGACCTGGCGAAGACACCAAAAATGTGAGGAGATAAATTTGATTATGATGATTTCCTTTGCTCTTCGTTCGGTGTAGAAAGATTCAAAACAATATCTCGACTGGTTGAAGGTGTATCGACATGTAGAATAGGGTTTCTCCTGTATCTAAACGCTCATGGGTGATGATATACAAATTTATCAATTCGTTGAAAGTCAAACCTGAAAATATAAGTTGTTGCATAAACTCTATTTGTTGATTACTAAATCTCATCACTAAGTTCCAGATCAGCCAATTCGTCGTCCAGTATTAGTTCCAGAAACCAGTCTTCCGGTCCAGTTATCGATAGGTGATGCAAGATCAGTAGATCAATTATTTCTTGTATGGCTCCTTGAATCTGGATTACTACCGCTGTTAACTCTTAAGTGTTTTCCTATGGACATTCGAGTTTTGAAAACTTAGATCAATTTGATATCGTTGGTTTCGCCTGGAACCTAAAACTGTCGGTAGTTGCGGTGGTACTTACGTTGACCTTAGCAAAAGATTTCGATAGTTCTAGTAGCGATAATGATTCGTAAACTCTTGACCTTCGATGAAAAGCTTTATTATGTCTATGAATAATAATAGTATAGTGATGGGTCAATACAGGGTTATAATCGGTGCAGTTAATTGGCGAGCAATAATAGTTACTACAGATGGTAAAGTACCGTGAAAAGAAAATACTCTCAAGATAAATGTTGTCTCGTTGAAACGGTTATCCTTGAGGCGGAAGCTTAGCGTAATAAAGGTTACGACTGGTGATGGGAAGTACAATATTTAAGTTCGAATGCGATTCTTATGGCGAAGGATCGTAGGTTAAGGTTACTGGTTATGATGAGGTTTGATTATGATTACAAATATAAGATAAAAGGTATGCTAATATGGTTAAGGACCAAACAAATTTCCAATGACGGTGTCAATAATGGTAAAGGTTCGGAAGGTAATTGATAAGGAGTTGATAGATGGTTATGGTCAAGGTGAATGATCAAAGGTGATAATCTATAACTAAGTCTACTAGGTTAACTTGGGGTAATGGATCAATGGTACAAGTATAAGCATGCGAGGATTATGGATAAGGTGAAGGATCAATGGGTACGAAAAGAAAAAAAAGGTAATACTCAAAAGCCTAAGGCTTACCTTGTTGATGCTTTCCGCTGGGACAGTCTGAGGGGTCGTGGTGGCTTAATAGGCCCAACTGAGCAACGGCTCGAACACAAAAGGCGGTTCGGGGAAAACACAAGGATGGCGGTGATGGCGGAGTTGGGGAGACACAGGGTTGGCGGAAACGGCGAAACCGGGGAACACAATTTATTTTAAAAATACACAAATAAACTTCTTAAAAATAAACTTCTTAAAAAGAAATGTAGCACAGAGAGAGAGAGAGAAAGATGAAAACAACAAATTGTTGATGTTGATGTTGACGCTGTTGAGCTTAAACTAACTTCGCAACCCTCTTTCTTTCTCTCTTTCTCTTTTATAGCCAATTCGGCCCATTGCGAAAGAGAAAAGACAGAGCAAAAGAAAGAGATTTGGCCCCCAAACAAAGAGAAAGAAAGAGCCTCTTTCTTAGGACCCCAAAGTTAATTGGATGCGATCTTAAACTTTTCCTGCTTTTCCCTAGAGAGATGGTCATTTATAATGTCCACCTTTCCTAATGCTTTCTCTCCCTTCTAAAAGTAATTTAGTTTTCCTGCTTAATGTAGAAATGGAAAAGTCATAAAAGTTAATTTCCCTGGAGAGAGGAGGAGTAAAGATGCAAACATATACTTCTCCTCTCTTGTCAATGTAAATCAAAATAAATGGGTTTTTAGGAGGAAAAACTCCCAGTAAAGTAAAAGTAATAAAAATAATAGCATTGGGGTGAGGAGGAAGGTTATGCTACCTTTGACCATTTAGATTTTTATCCCCTCACAATATAATATAATATAAGAATATATTTGAAAGTTTAATTGCTCGATCATTACAATTAACATGTTCTTTTGTTTTTTTTGCAACTAATTAGTGTACCTTTCATTGGATTCTCCATAACTGGCTCAGCGATTTTCGCTTCTATCGTGGCGACTGCGGTGATCACTTTTATCACTCATTCGTCGGCGACTACGTTAGCAGTTCCAATAATAAGTGGAGCTGTTCAAACGATTGAAGAAGTTCATCTTTACGTTTGGCCTTTTTTCCGAATCGGACCTTTTCTCATTGGAATACTTCTTGGTTATTTTATGCTTAAACATGGAGATCTTGTAGTTTCAAAGGTGAAGCTTTTTTCCTCGAAAATTTTCCTCGGAATTTAATTAACTTTGATATTAATTTGATTTTCTTTGGATATATATATCACATTCACCATTCAGAGAATCAATTTGGCTTTGTGGTTCTTATGTTTATCTACGGTCAGTGTAATCACCATGGCCTCTTATCGATGGGCTAATGGTCATCCAGCGTCTCTTTTTGAATCAGTTGTCTACAGTTCGTTACATCGTATCATTTGGTCGATATGTTGGTCTTACATGATTGTTTCATGTCACTATGGTCACTGTCCACTTGTTAACGGGATTCTGGGCTGGAGTGCATTCATACCTTTAGGAAAATTAACATATCATGCATATCTAATTCATTTATTATTTATTTACATTCACATTTCAGCAAATCGATCAATTATTTATTTCTCTCATTACAACATGGTAAGAAAACTCAATCGACAGAATCTTTGGTGAATCGTATCGTTCAAATGTAAACTGATATTTACTTTTCTCTCTCTCTCTAGTTTATCCTTTTTCTAGGCTATTTGACAATTTCTATGATTTTTAGTTATGTATCTGCGATCCTTTTTGAATTACCTTTCGCTAATTTGAAAAATATTTTTTGGCCTGAAAAACCTAAAGACTGCGAACCCACGAACGGCCATTTATCCGCAAGCCAATCAACTTGCCATTCGAATCACTATCAAAGTGAAACAATTGACGATCGAGTTGTTAATCTATTTCCTGCCAAAAATGTGACACAAAACAACAACGTTTCGAGTATTTTGGTCTATTAGGCCAATTAACACGATTCGAAAAGAAAATAAAACTTATCAAGTTTTTCTTTTAGTATTCTAAAGTAACAAATGTACCATAAATTGTAATAAATTATAATTAACATCTTAACGATTCACATTTGATTAAATTTAACTTCGATAATCATTTAAAATGATCAGTAAACTTTCATTGAATTTGGTACCAAATTTAATCAGCTGAACATCTCAGCTGATTAACGATCAACATTGAGGTTTGTTTACATTCGTATGAGCGCCATCTTTTATCTCGTTAAAGTAGTTTAGAGTTGCAATTAGAGAATAGAAAAAATAATTAATCTTTTAATTTAATTGTGACAAGAAAATTAAAGATAATCTAAAGATATTTACATGTAGAATATAAGAGAAAAGGAGTTGAAAACAAAAAGATTCAGAATATTAATACAAACGGAAAGCGAAAAAAAAGTTTTTTTGGAAAATAATTGTTGATGTTTATCCAAATTTATCTTATCAATTTAATTGTTGTTTGTTGATTGTGTTAATTAGAAAAGCCAACAGCTTTTGAACACGTTGGGTTTTATCAATTTCTCTGATTGTCGAGGGTGAATTTGTGGATAATAACGACGATGGTGAAGGAGAATCGTTGAATTTGCTGGACGAAGAGGTGGAATCAGATGGAATCGATTCTTATAACGGAAATGATGGATAACGGGAACATTAGAACTCGTAGTTACATGGACATTATTAACAACACGTTTTCGACGATATTTAGCACCAGAATTACCTCCTAATTTGAATATTGGACCTAAAGAGAAAAGAAAGAAAATTTTCTTTATAATTAACTCTGTTTATCTAACAATTAATCGCAAAATCTTTAATCAGTGTTTTTCGCTTGAAAACAATTTAGCATAAAAAGCAAACCGATAAACCTTAAAGCTATTAATAGATTAAATTATAATGATTAATATCAACATTAATCATTAATTGAAACCATTTTAATACTTTCAAAGTTAATTAGTAAACTACAATTAGTATATATATTTGAGCCTTAAAATTAATTAACGCTTTAATCAATGAACACTAAATTAAGTTATAAGTTAAATATACATAATAAATCATTAATCATGATTATAACTGTTAACTTGAAAATGAATCAAAATTGTTAACAATTTAACCTGAGGGCATTTTCTCAACAATATATTAATCGTCAATGTATTGATTAAACTTTAAAGAAAATTGTTAATCAATTTTGTTTTCTTGTTGTTTTCTGATCAACAAAAATAATCAGGTAAATTAATTTAATTTGATTTACTAAATTGTTGTTGATTTAAAGTTATCGATTAATTTGATTAATAGTCTGAAGATGGTGATGATTACTAGAGTGGAGAAATTTAAAAATTGTGATTAAGTGAAAAGATGATCAAGATGATTAAGATGATCACCAATTGTTGTTGAGATGAATAATATTACCGTTAGAATGGAGTTAAAGTTAACTAACCCGGTATTTGGAAATGAGATGAATTAAGAAATTGTGATGATGATTAAGAATAAAGAAGATGTGGCTATTTAGATTAACACTATTCTCAACTGACCACTTCAATTTTTTCGTTAACAATAAAGAAAAGAAAAAGAAAAAGAAATGAAAACTCATGATGATGTTACTATTTGAGGGAATTGAGACTGAGAGGGAGGATGAATGGGGTTAGGTTACGATTTCATTGAGGTAAAAGAAGAAAGAAAAAGAGAAAGATAATTATGATGATGATGATGATGATTAAAAAAAGATAAATTAAAGGGAGAGATCAACTTACTTGATATAAAATCCGATTTTTGGGTAGGATTGGTCAATTTCGTGACTGACCTTTCATCTTGATTATCCGTTACAGAGTCAACATAAGCCTCTGCCAAGAATGAAAAAACTAAAAGGGTTTTCAGCATGAAGATAATCATGATGATCATGAGGAAAGAAGGGTAAAGGGAGAAGGAAATAGATGAAAAAGGGATGAAGATGGAGGGAAGATGAAGATGATAATATAGTTGTAAGAGAATAGGGAAGAGAGGGAGAGAGAAAGTAATAAAGAAAAGGTATAAATGGTTGGTTAATCTTTTAGAAAAAAAAAGTTCTCATTCATTTTCTCTGGCAATTCAGGGATCTCTTCATCTTTTGTATATTCCATTCAAACTTATTTGTATTCTTGGTGCAAGAACCGGAAGAGTTGGAGAATAGCCATCATGATGATGATGGTGATGAGAATCATCTTAATTTTGATTCAATTGTACTTTAATATGAAATTCTGACCTTACCTGAATCCACGTTGAGATTTTCTTTTACCGAAGTTCGAAAAACTTTTAATCTTATCGATCGAGCTAACGATTCAACCTCATCTCTTGACACTTTACTTCGATTCATAAGATCTATTTTATTCTGTACTAAGGCCATCGGAATAGAACCACATTCATATTCGACCTTTTTTTTCCAATTTCGAACTGAATCAAATGATTCTCGATCTGTCGTCGAAAAGACAATCACACAAGCTTGAGCACCTACGAAACGAAGGGGCAAAAAATATCATCGAAAACAGTTAATCACGAATTCGAAACTAAATCAGTTTCGTCTCATTCATTTCAACACAATTAAACGAAACCCAATTAAATGATTAGTTAATTTTGTATTATAATTAAGAGGATATCGAGAGAGAGAGAGAGGTAAATGATATGTCATCAGGATTTAATTTCCTCCCTCAGGTTATATCAACTGAATTGATTCAATGTCAAACTGTTAATTATACATATTAAATCTAATTGTTATAATAATGTCTTCTCATGCTGATTCAGTTGGATAATATCATGACAGTCAGTTAATTGTCTTCATGAAACTAAAATTAAATTGTGATCCTAAAAAGTCAAAAGTTTCTCACATTCAAAATATATAATAATTCATTGTTTAATTGCTGTATTTAAGTAAATTTAAAGTCAAAACAATTTAGAGTAGGTTAGAAATTGATTGTGAAGAAAGGAATTAACTTTAATTAAACTAATCACTACATCGATTCCATAACTGTGATGATGATCATGGTATTGATTAAAGGGATTTATCTCATCTGGCTTGAGGGATTAAATCAATCAAACTAAAGAAATTAAGTCAAGTCAACACTTAACTTATAAGAGATACAATATAAAGACTAAACACTTTAATTGGTTACAATTAACTTAATCATGATATCGGTTACATACTGACCTCTGTAATATGCTTTGGTTAGAGCATCAAACTCCTCTTGACCAGCAGTGTCCCAGAGCATTAATCTGATTTCTTGACCATGAGTTCTGAGTATTAGAAAGAGAATGGTGTAAATAGATAATCCGAAATCACTTATATAATAAATAAATCAATTGAAAATCAGAATGGAATCAATTTAATCTCACTTGACAGTTCTTTCCAAGAAATCAACACCCAAAGTTTTTTTGTACTCGTTGGTGAAAATACCATTACAATAGCGTTGAATTAACGATGATTTACCCACGATTCCATTGCCGACAAGCACAACCTAAATCACGTTGAGTAAACACCAACAATTAAAGATGAAAATTTGATCAATGAAAACAAAATAAAACCAAACAAAACATAAACAACAATTTACCTTGATGGTTGATTCAAAATCGTCATCTCTCATTATATTATTGACAAAAAAACAATGATAAAGAGAGAGAGTGACAGAAATTTAAATTATCCAAAAGTTAAATTAGAAAATTAAACACAGAAAATAAATTGTTGATATTAATACGAAAATAGGACATTATTATTGTTGAGAAAAGTTTACCAATTTAACATCAATCAGTGGACATTGTTCAGTATTTAGGGTCAGGGTAATGATGAAATTCGGGTGATGATGAAACAAAATTTGATTCTAATGTGAATTTAGAATAAGAGTCAACAAGGATGATGATGATGATGATGAGCAAGAGAATTGAAGATGATGATGATGATGATGATGATGATAATGATCTCTTACATTGGGGCTGATCTAATGTTCAGACCGGTTCTAAGGTTCTAACGGTTTCTTTAGAACTCGTTTCCAAGGCAACCAATTTGTTCATTCTTCATCTTCCTCCAGTGAATCCACTCCTTGAGGTTTAATTTAGTAATTTGGTTAATTGTTGACCAACATCACATAACTGTCTTACAATTACTCCAACACGGTGACCCTAAAATACATAACGGTAATGATAATTTCATTGAAAATCCACCAACTCAAATGTAAAAGTTAAATCTAATTGTTATTATTCAACTTTATTACCTTTTCATTGTTATTATTTAACTTTACACCTCAACCATATAAAATTAGACTAATTATCATTTAATTTTATTAATTATTGTTTAGATTCATTCAACTGGATATGATTAACAGACAATCAATTTAATTAACTTTCAATTGTAAATCCATAACATTCAAGGTTAATCATGGATACATTTTTTTTTTACTCACTTCGTTCCGGATTAGTTAATTAAAAGTTCAATCAGTTGATCTGGAAAAACTCAGAGCTCATGATTTAATTAGCAAAAAAAAAGAGTCTTAATCAATCATCAGAATTAAATTATTCACTCACAATTTCGTAATGATTAAGTTAATCCTCCTTCAATCAATCTTCACGAAAGATTATCATTAATTTGATATTATTTAAAATTCACACATTCAACCAACCTTAAGTTTTAATTGAGTTCATAGGGTTGATTGTTAAATTGTTTCACTCGTAAACAATTTAAACAACAAAAAAATATTTAATCAGATGAGCCAAATATATTTAATTGTATTCATAATATAAGACAAAAATATCAATAATGATGAGGATAAATTGATGAGCTCTTTTAATTGTTTAATATTTTCAACTCGATCAATTTGATTAGGAAGAAGAAAAAAATTTACCAATCAAATTAAATTGACCATCTTCATAAATAAATGTTAATTGTAAATTTGTACGATTAAATTATCAGTTAATTTCTCGTTAATTCAATCAAATTAGCAAACACGATTCGATATAATAATAATAATAATAACTACTATCATTAATCATTAGATAATACTCACGATTAAATGAAAAAACAAATTGATGAAAAGATAATTTCACCTTGTTTTTTTATTCAATTTTCATTTAAATTGTTGTAACAAACAATTAAAAATAATTTCGATTAACTTTAAATTGCAACAATTTGATAGAAATTCAAATTTGGCGCCTCTTTGATTTTCTCTTTTTTTCCTCAACCCAAACAAATTAAAGTCTATGTCATAGACTTAGAACCGCATTAAACCCGCAGCGATGAGTTTAATCGGAAATTTATTTAATTTAAATTAACCTTAATTATTGTGATAATTCTTATTATTTATAGACAATTAATTTAAAAACTGTTCGATTAAAAGTAAGTAACATCTCTTATTCTGGATCAATGGTTAAATTTGGATCATCTTTACCTTGGTGTATACGTCATCTTGATGCTTCACTAAATGAAGCCAAATCTTAATTTCAACCATACAAAAATCTTATTGTTGTTATTGTTTTTTTTTTGCATTTTAGATTATTGTTCATTAATTTGATAACTTATGTGCTTTATTTGTTCATCTTTAATTATACAGTATGACTTTCAGAAAGGTTGTTGGTAATTTGGAGCGTTTTTTTGACAAGAACCTTACAGATCTTGTCAGAGGCATACGGAATAATAAAGAGAATGAGGTTAGTGTTGATCCTTATGTTTTTCTTTTGAAAAGTGTATTTGTTTTTCCTTTTCTAATCTTTTTGAATTTATTATTATTTTTTTCTCCTTCTCCCAACAGGCCAAATACATTGCCCAGTGTATTGAAGAAATCAAGGAAGAATTGAAACAAGAAAATATAACAGTTAAAACAAATGCTGTTGCTAAATTGACTTATGTGAGTTTATCTCTCTTTGTCATTCTCATATCATATGTTACCTGATAGTTTACAACCCTAATTGATATGACACTTTTTTTTAATCATTTTGATTCTAATCATATAGTTACAAATGCTTGGGTATGACATGAGTTGGGCAGCTTTTAACATTATTGAAGTTATGAGTTCTACAAAATTCACTTATAAGGTTTGTTATTTACTTTCTTCTTCTTCTTCATTTACTTTATATATTCATTTCAAATGAATTTCATGGAATTTTTTTTTCTCATAATTTCTCTTTTACTTCACCAGAGAATTGGATACCTCTCAGCATCTCAATGTTTCCATGAAAATACAGAAGTTATGATGTTAACGACAAATATGATTAGAAAGGTATACACATAGTAATAAGTATTTTTACTTACAATTTTCATTAAGTATTAAGTGACTTTACAGTTGATTGATTGTTTCTTATTTTTTTTCGGCTCTTTTTAGGACCTTAATTCACAAAACATGTACGATGCTGGTTGTGCTATGTCAAGTCTCGCCTGTTTTATATCAACTGACATAAGTCGGGATCTTGCAAATGATGTTATGACCCTTCTAACCTCAACAAAGCCTTACCTGAGGAAAAAAGCAGTTCTCCTAATGTACAAGATATTCCTTAAATATCCTGAAGCCTTAAAACCAGCGTTCCCTCGTTTAAAAGAGAAACTAGAAGATCCCGATCCAGGTAGATTCAATTTTCTCTTCCATAATATATATGAAATTTTATTCCATAAGTTTAATCATCTTTTTTTTTATTCGATTATCTTTCCCTATTAGGAGTCCAATCAGCCGCCGTTAATGTTATATGTGAACTCGCCCGTAAAAATCCTAAAAATTACCTTTCCTTAGCTCCTATTTTCTTTAAATTGATGACCAGTTCGACAAACAATTGGATGTTAATTAAAATCATCAAACTTGTAAGTTACTTGACATGGTCCTTGATCATTTTTGCTCAAAGATTAGAGCCAACAATCAATCAATCAAAAACAAAATCACTAAGCCTGCTCATCTTTACATGGTCAACATTGAATCATCCTCTTGGTGCTATCATTTTTGATTTATTATAAAACGCTGGTGATATATTATCATTAGATTATATCTTTAAATTTGATATAATGATCACCAAACTTTTATTTTCATCCAATCTGATCCCTCGCACCCTAAAAATCCTATTAACAAGATCACAAAACTTCCGGTTATGAATGATAATTTTTCTGTTCTCATTCTCAGTTTGGTGTTTTAACACAATATGAGCCTTTACTGGGCTTTAAACTAAGCAATCCTCTAATTGACATTATAAGAAGGTAAATTGTTCACCAATTGACTTTCTAATTTACACTTTATTACAAAATAACCTTAACCCTTTTACCGTTATCCCTTTTTAATTGCACAATTAATCAAAATTACCATTATTATCATAATCATTATTATTATTATTATTTTCTCTCCTTACCAATACCCCAGAACATTTTAGAGAGAGAGAGAGGAAATTGTATCAATAATAAGCATCCAAGACTAACAGAAAACAAAAGATCGAGCTCAACATTATTATTATCAATTTCGAGCTCATTTTATGTTGATCATGCATGATGACGATTGTTTTTTTTATAAATGATTATTTTATTTTCTTGCCGATGATAAAATCAAAATCTTTAGAGTAAAAACTATCAGTACAACAAACGAATCACTGAATTTTTTCATTCACCTTAAAAACCTAATTTTCTTTTCTTTCAGTTCGGTGCTTTGATTCCCATTGAACCTAGATTAGGCAAGAAACTGATAGAACCATTAACTAATATAATTCACAGGTAAATTAGTTGTTTTTGTTTTCATTTGTTTTATGTTTTATTTACCTTTTAACTTTTGCCTGTTCTTAAAATCACAATGCAACTTCATCACTTTTTTGTTTACTGTTTACGTTTTTCTCCCTAATTCAATTTCAATCCAATTTCAAGTTAACTAATTGAACTTTTTTTCTTTATTGTTTCCTTCTCGATTCTCAGCACTTCTGCTATGTCACTTTTATACGAATGTGTCAACACTGTTATAGCTGTTCTTATTTCCATTTCAAGCGGTTTGCCTTATCACAATTCTTCCATCCAATTATGTGTACAAAAATTGCGAATTTTGATCGAAGATTCTGATCAAAATCTTAAATATCTTGGTCTTCTTGCTATGAGTAAAATACTTAAAACTCATCCGAAAAGTGTCCAAGCTCATAAAGATTTAGTATTGGCGTGTTTAGATGATAAGGATGAATCAATTCGTCTGAGGTTTGTTATTTTTAGTTATTATCCTCATGTAACAAGATGAAAATCTTACAATTATCAAATTGATTTTTCTTCTTCTTCTTCTTTAACTTTACTCACACACATACACAGGGCACTCGACCTTCTTTATGGTATGGTTTCCAAAAAGAACCTCATGGAAATAGTTAAAAAGCTAATGACAAATGTATCCGAAAGTCAATTAGGAAACAAATATCGTGATGAGCTGATTTCTAAGATAATTGACATTTGTGCACAAAACGATTACCAGTTTATTGTTAACTTTGAATGGTACTTCAATCTTATTGTATTAACAAGATTATCTCTTATTTTCTAGTATCTAAATTAATCTATTTTTCTCTCCTTTTATGGTTCAATTTTGTTATTAATTTTCTCTTCTCTTTTTATTGATTATTCTTTACAGGTATTTATCAGTTCTTACAGAATTAACTAGAGTCGAAGGAGGAACCAACCATGGAAGTCTCATTGCCCAACAAATTCTTGATGTTGCTATTAGAGTTGAATCTATTCGACAATTTGCCACCAAGCAAATGGTTAGAAGTGTTTTCTTTTTCTTCCCAATTTGTCTATTCGATTCATTTGAGATTCGTATTCATTTTGTTTTCTTTTGATTTTCTTTCTACAGGCAATTCTCGTTGAAAATTCTTATATGTTTGTAAATACCTCAGTTTGTGAGGTACTTTATGCAGCTTCCTGGGTCTGTGGTGAATTCGCTGAGTAAGTCTAACTAACCGATTGATTAACTATCAACATAATATTTGAATAATGGACGCTGATGGAAAATATTTCTTCTTCATTTAGATATTTACCTGATAAACGTAAAGTTGTTCTTGATCTTCTAGTTAAACAATCATTCCCACCTCATATTGAGTCAACTTTTATTCATAATGCATCTAAAATTTTCTCGAAAATTTATTTGGAAGAACAAGATTCTGAATTGATGAAAGAATTCGCCGATCAAGTTATTGGATATTTGGATCCATTCCTGGTCAGTGAGGACCTTGAAGTCCAAGAGAGAGCAACCAATTTACTTCAGATTGTTAAACTGAGCTTGGAAAATTCTGAAAAGATTGACTTTGTTTCCATTTTTTATGCTCATCCTCTTAATCCCGTCGCTCCGATCGCTCAGCGTAAAGTTCCAGTTCCTCAAGAATTGTTGATTGATGAACCTTTTAGAGAAGAGAGAGAAGATGAGGATATGGATGAAGATGTTCATGATCAAGTGCAAAGTTTCTTTGTTAAAGAAGATAGTGAAGACGAATATCGTCATGAGCTTAGAGAATCAGATATGAATGGTTCAGCAGAAAATCACAGAAGTCGACAATTTGATTACGAAAATAATCCAAATTATCTCAAGTCAACCAAGAAAAGGACTCTCAACCAATCGGATAGAATATCTGAACCAGATATAGCCGAAGAAGCTTATGATTATACTCTTAAAGAACGAAACAAGAACTTTATTCCAGGCCTTGCATCGTCGGAAAGTTATGTTCGTAAAAGTAAAGAAAAGAAGACCAAGGAAAAGTCAAGTAAAGAAAAGAAAAGTAAAGAAAATAAGGATAGTAAAGAGAAAAAGAGTAAAGAGAAAAAAGTGAAAGAGAAAAAAACGAAAGAGAAAAAGAAGAGTAAAGAGAATAAAAGTGAAGAAATAATTGTTGTTAGTAAAGAGAAAAAAGTGAAAGAAAAAAAGACATCGAAAGAGAAAAAAATGAAAGAGAAAGAATTTAAAGAGAACGAAATTGTAGAAAAAGAAGTTAAAGAGAAGAGGAAAACAAAGAGAACTAAAAAATCTGCCCCCAAGGAGAATTGCGAAAGTCCAGAAATCGAGCCCGAATCAACTCACTTAGTCACAATTAAAGGACTCGAAATGCCCGAAGGTGTTGATCCCAACGAAGTGACGAACGACGATGACAATCTAAGTGATTCAGATCCACACAAAGCACTGGCTAAATTCAGTCTTGACGAGCCGAGTTACTCAAGAACAAGAAAATCGAATTAAAATTCCACCCGAAACAAAAAAAAGAAAGAAAAACAAACAATTCGTTCGTTAATTAAACAATTAAACAAGTTTCTTGTTTCTCTTCTCGTTCTTGTGTTTACAAAATCTCTTTTTTTATATACAATTAATTTAAATACAGAAAATTGTAATCAACTAATCGATGAATTGTTATTCTTGTCTCATAATCATTTTCTTTTCTCCTTTCTTTAAACCGTAACAATTGCGAAAATGTAAAAAATGTTCCAATTCGAAGTTCGAAGTTAATCAAAATAAGAAAAGATTAATTGATCGACGATCAGTAGATGGCAGTTGAATCTACAAATGCGAAAGTGAAGATCGATGGAAGAGCTTCACAAATCGATTAATATCAATATTCGTTTGTTTTTTTTTCTCTTTCTTATTTATTCTGTTCTCTTTCTCTTGATTGATCTTTGATTCTGAATCGATGTTAGAATCTAAATTATGAGTAAATCGAAAAGTGAATTGATTTAAAGTGAGAAAAGGGGGATATCGAATAGTCATCCTGATTGTTGGTTCAGTAGAAAAGCGTGTTGACTTCGTGGGGCGAATTTGTTTAAATTAATTTAAATTTCATCTTTAAAATGGTTTAATTTTCATCATCATCATCATCATACCAAATTATTGTCTACTTTCCCCCCTTTCTTTTTCTCTACCTCTTATTTTTTCTTTTTTTTTCTTTTTTCTTTAGTTTTTTCTTCATTTCAATTTTCTTCTCTTTCTTAGTCTGTCTTTTTCTCTCTCTCTCTCTCCTTCTCCTTCTCCTTTTTCTCTCTCCCTTCTCTCTCTCTCTCAGTCTCTCAACATATTTACCTTTAAATTTCTCTCTGTCATCTTTACCATCTTCTTTTCCTTGATTTTGGTTAATTGTTTGCAACTTTGCCCGTGAAACGACACTAAATTAACAGGAGAGGGAGAACACGTATCCAGCTCACTTAAACAACATAGACGCTCTCCCTTTAAGTTTCTCTTTTTACTCTCTTTCTCTCTCCATCTTGATTGACTTTGCGAGAGACAGCAGGCAAAAAGGAAGTAGAAGTTATAACTCACTCTCACTCTCTCATTTTTTTTTCTTTCTTTCTCTTTCTCTTTCTTTCCTTTTCTTTCTTTCTTTCTTTCTTTCTTTCTCTCTCTCTCTCTCTCTGTATCCCCTTTATCTCCTTCCCTTTCCTTGTTTTTCTCTATCTTTATATATCTCTCTATTTCATCCCAAGTCTATTGACTGACCCTCACCGATAAACTGTCCTTCATCTTGATTCCTCTTTCTGTTGTCGTCATCATCATCCTCCTCACCGTCAACACTCATACTCTCACATCATACAACACACCGCCTCAACCACCACCATCATCATCTTCACCACCATCATCAACATCACACCACCACCACCTTCATCATTTCCACCTTAAAACCAATCCAGCTTATCACACCAACAACTGACCCCATCACCTTTTTTTTTGCTGACCAGGGATTTTGAGATACAACATAAACATTGAACCTCATATTTACATAGACCAGATATTAACTCCCAAGACCACAGAGAAACGACTGTCAACTATCTCAATCAACCTGGAGGAGAGCCATGTTCAATAACTCTTCCTCATCCAGTGTAGGCGGTAATGATAGCTGTTACCATTTCAAGATATTGGTGCCAGCGGTCGCCGCCGGTGCCATTATTGGTAAAGGTGGTGAGACAATAGCTCAATTGCAAAAGGATGCCGGTGCTCGGGTTAAAATGTCCAAAGCAAATGACTTTTACCCCGGTAATTACGAAGGTTTTTTTCTTTGTCTTTACACCATTTAATCTGCTCTTCGTACTTGACTTATTTGTTTTACTTATCCTTCGCTTTCCTTTTTTCTCTCTCTCTCTCAAATTTTTTCATTTTCCAGGTACCTCTGAACGTGTCTGTCTAATATCCGGCAGCGTTGATGGTATTCTTCGCATCCATGAGTTTATTATGGAAAAAATTAAGGAAAAACCTGATCCAAACGCTAAAATGGCGATAGATTTCGACCATAAGCAGCCAGCCGAAAGGGAAAAACAGGTTTGTCTCAGAATTTTGTTTGATTTTTTACTATTTTGGGTTGTATATTGGTCTCTTTTGTTGGTCTATACAATTTATCATTTCCATAAATTTGAATGATCCTCACCTCATGCTTTGATTTAACCTTTTTTTTCTTACCTTTTAATGTCAATAGGTTAAAATATTGGTTCCTAATAGTACCGCGGGTATGATAATTGGTAAAGGTGGAACATACATTAAACAAATTAAAGAGGAAAGCGGAGCATATGTACAAATATCACAGAAATCACGGGATCACGCACTGGCAGAGAGATGTATCACAGTTATCGGTGAACCGGATAACAATAAAAAAGCATGTGCAATGATTATATCGAAAATAGTCGAAGATCCACAAAGTGGAAGTTGTCTTACTGTAAGTTATGCCGATGCTACTGGACCAGTTGCTAATTTCAACCCTACTGGCTCACCTTATGCCAACATTGGAACCTCAAGTGGTCAATCTAATGTCACCAATAGTAATCCATCTTATAGTTCAAATGGTTCTCTGAATAGTTTAAGCCCTACCTTAGCAAATAGTTTCAACAGCCCACAAGGAACCGGTACACCAGGAGGTATGTTACAATTTGGTGGAGTTGGCCTTGGACCTACTATCCCGCAAGCAAATTCTGCTCAAATGATTGAAAGTATCAAAGCCATGCTTCGTGTCTCTGGTTACTCAGAAGAAGCAGTTTCTGAGATATCATCAGCCATGAACACATTAGCCAATTATGGAATGCTTGGTTTAGGACTTGGTTTGGGTGGTATGTTTAATAACATTAATGGTGCTCCCATGATTAGTTCACTTGGTATGGGTATGGCAACATCTACTCCTGTACCTAATAATTGTGGCCTGGCCATGGGCTCTGTTGGAGGCGGTGGTAATGCACCAATGTTTACTTCTCAAGGAACCGGAGTTCCTGGTTTAGATACGTGTAACAATGTTGCAGCAAATTCGTCGGCAGTAGCCGCTGCTGCGGCTGCTGCAGCAGCCAACGCCGGTGGAAATGGTTTATTCGGTTCAGTTGGTAATACAGCAACCGGAATTTCAGGTTTAAGTATGAATCATAGTGGCTTTGGATCACCTACTGGAACTCGTGGTGGAGGTGGTCCTGATCGATTAACCATGCCTGACGGATCTGTTTATGATCCATTTCGTCGATCATCTCCATCCATAGGATCTCCTGGAGCAGCATCATCTGGAGGTCCTCAATTAAACGTTAATAACAATTCATTTGGACTGGGTACTGTACTCAATAGCCCAACCTCATTACGGAAAAGTCCGACACCAACTGACGGCCAAGATGCGCAAAAAGTTGAAGTCGAAATTGGTGACAATATAGTGGGAGCCATACTTGGACACGGTGGTAAATCTCTGGTTGAAATTCAACGTATCAGTGGAGCTAATATTCAAATATCTAAAAAGGGTATTTTTGTTCCCGGAACCCGAAATAGAATCGTTACCATCACAGGAACACCTCATTCTGTTAACACAGCTCAATATCTTATAGAGCAACAGATCAACGAAGAAGAAGCTAAAAGAGCTCGACAAAATTCAACCACGTTGAGTAGTGTTCTCTGTTAAAATCAAATCCATTGATTCTCTCTCTCTCTCTTTCTTTCTTTCTCTATTTCTTTCCTTTCCTTTTCCTATCTTTACTTTCTTTCTCAAACCAAATCCCCCACGCATGTAACAACCATACATATACAACCACAACCACAACCACAACACACAACACTTTTTTCAATCAACACCCAAAATTAACTTAATTATGTCAACGGCAACAACGACAGCAAAAAAAGCCTTTGTTCACTGACTCATCATCCTTCCACATTTTCTCTATCTCTCCCTGTCGCCCTCTCTCTCTTCACACCGCATGAAGAAAAAAAACAAACACGCGATAAACGCGATAATCACATATGGAAACAACATTGAAACAAAAATGAGATAAACAAAAAAACAAACATGCATGACGCTGTTGTCAAATATAATTGTTTCTTTTTCGCATATATAAAACGCAAAAATCATCTCATTTCAATCAAATTAAGTTAATTTAGATGCGTCTGAAATCCCGTGTGAAATATTTTTTATATTATATAAGTAACATATTCATAAAAAATACACACCTTTCTCTCTCTCTCTCTTTCTCTCTCATTGCAAATAGTCAGGGTATCTAAGAAAATAACAGTAACTCGCTTCATCCTCAACACCAACAACAACTTCAATCCAAAACCATCAAACAAAAAACACCAACACAACACCAACAACACACATGAAACATGCTACATAAACACAACATTACACATACACAATGCATTACATTCAACAAACAAAAACCTCGCCCCATTATCATTGATACAAAAACTATTGTTTACTGTTAATATATTAGACCCAAAACCTTTTTTTTTTGTCAACTAAATTGTTCGAACCATCATCAGTCAATCTTCATCTTCATCCATAGAAGACAAATTCACATACACACACACAAAATTCACAATCAGTTGTTAATTTAGGTTTAAAATTTTCTTTCATCTCTCAATAAACTACATCAGCATCGCAATGACGTTGTCGAAGTTTATTAATCGCGATTCTAACTTTCGAATATTTTTTTCTTCTTTGATTAACAAGAACTCGATTAGTGTTGGAAAATATTTAAAGGTAAGTTTCGCTTTGTCGCAGAATAAACAATCAACAGAAAATTATAGCAATAATAATCTTAATTATATCGTTTATTAAGTGACTTAGATAACATTTGTTTTATAATTGAGCGATTAAATTTTTCCAATCATCTTGATTAATTTGAACAATTGAATATGAGAAACAAAAATCTAAATGAAATTGAGTAATTGTTCAGTGGTGATTATTATCTTGATGAGACAATTTTATCTTCCGTAAAAAATAAGTTTGTTATAAGTGGTGATTATTGGTGAATAGGTTAAGTATTGGTGACATTTTAATTGTTGTTAATTGTTATTTCCAACAAACTACTGCCGATGGGTGTCTTTCAACTTTCTCCTCCAGCTCAGCGTGGCTTTTACTCATTTCTGTACAAATTTTATCGTAACTGTGATTACCATCAAAGAATCTGTATATTCCTCGTTGATGAGCAATCGATGTAGAATCAGGTGAATCAACCAGAATTGGATATTTATTCAATCGGCGAATTAATGATTTCAATGAACCAAAATGGACCAATTTTTTCTCATCGATTCCATTGTGACTTGGATTTAATCGGATACAAAGATCTTTCAATGTAACACCAGGAGTCATGTTACAATAGAATTGGAAAACTGATCGGAAATTGGGCTTAGAACTTGGACTTTTAGCAACAAATCGTAAGCACTCCTCCTGCAATTCAGTACTTTCCACGAGATTTGATATTTTAGGTGTTGTCACGAACACATTTGAATACTGGAAGATCGGGATTAGCGTAATTATTTCATAATAAATCATATTCTGTATACAAGCTTTCACCAAAGAGACTTCAACATCAGCTTCACTTGCGATTTTGGCAACATGTCGATTCCCATCAATAAACGATATCACCTAGATAATTATGAGAAAATCAATTAGAATGATAATATTTCATGATGATAAATTTTAATTGTAATATTATGTTTACTTGTTGAGTGGTCAAGTCCCATTCACTTGGAACAATTGATCCTTCACTGGTCAGAAAAATGGGTACATCGTGGTCTTCAACGGGATCGGGCTTTGGACGGACTCGAGCAACTTTTAAATAGATTGTGGTTGATGCAGCTAATCAAAAATGGGAAAATAAGTTGATTAAAATGAATGGAAATACATGTATGAATCTCGCATTTGTAATTAGCGATCAAAGTTAAACTTACTGATTGGAAGTTCACAAGATCTATTGGCCGTAAGTTTATCTCGTATTTGAGCCATGATTTTGGGTAAAGTGCTTTTAGTTTCATTATTCGAGATGAATCCGCATTCCTTTTCCAAATTGATCAAATATTGAGCCAATTTCTTGACAACGGGCTCATATTGAACTGTCCTCATGGCAGAAGCACAAACAAAACAAAGATTGAAAATTAATCTATTCCTTGGAAATTGTGGCCCATCTAAGCCAACAGGGAATCCGATGACTTTGAGATCATTTGAATTTCTATTCGGAAATAAATTAGATGAAAAAAAAACAACCAAAACAACAATAGAAAATCAATGAATAAGAAAATAAATTAATTCTAATCTTCATTTCCATGAATGAAAAATTCACTTACACTGTTATTAATCTTCCTTCAAGCTCTTTTTTAGGTATGAGGTAAACATTTAGAGCATTGAATTTATCCTCGGAAACAATATCTTCAGGTACCTAGAGAAAAATTGTTCAAATAAGTGAATTAAATTAAATTAAATTAGAATAGAAAAGTTGAAAATGTTAACCAACCTGATATGTTAACTTAGGCCCATAGACATGATCAAATTCACAGAAAAATATACAACAAATTGGAGATTCATTTCTCTCTTTTTGGGAATTGGGCATGATGGTGATCAAGATAATGATTGAATTGATTAAATGTTCATTTAGAAACAATAACAAGAATAATAAAAAACTCGAAATAATCGGCCCATCAACAGGTAAACAAACCGAAAATAGAAACAATAATAAAGAGAAAGAGAGAAACAAAAAAGTAAAAGTGGTTAACAGAACGAGATTGGAACTTAATTGCACAAATGATGATAATTCGGCTAATTGATTGTTAACTTGATTATGGTGACAATCAAGCGAATGTATAATTAAATTGATTTCAACAGTAAAAGTGGAAAAATAATCGATGATTAAAATTAATTCACTTCTCCAATTCAACTGTTTACATTTGTTGTGACTCTCCCGAGACTCTCTCTTACTCACTTAGTTTCTCTCTCTTTTTTTTATTCTTCTCTCTTTTTCTGGTTCTTGGTGTTTGTTGTTGTTTCTTTTTTTTCTGGTTCAATTTTTTTTCTCTCTTTTTCTAAATCACATGTTAACCCAATGTCTACTAAATTGTTTTCTAATTTATTGCTAATTAATAAATCAACATTCATCTCTGAAGACATCGGCTTTTTAACGAGCTTTTTTTGTCTCCAAAAGGATTTACCTCAGGGTGAATATTGTGAATCTCGGTGAGTGAAAAGATCAGTTGATTCTAAAGAAATGGTTGATTTTCTTTATTCTAAAATTTTCCTTAATCTATTTCCTCAATTTCCCTGTTCTATTGATTGATTTATATTCCAGCATTTGGCTTGTAATCACTACTATTGTGCTACTTTCATCGATTGGCGTTGATTGGATTTACTTTGGATCGGGATTATCCCTTTTGGTGACTCTCCTTTGTTCACCTTATTTGTCCATCAATTTATATTATCTAATTTACTACAGGTAAGATTGAGATTTTTTTTAAAATTTCTTTTGTGATTTAATTGGGATTATCTTTGTTTTCCATACGTACAGATTCAATGAGTATCGATTGATTAACCGTTTCAATGGATTGTGTTACTATCTTGGGGAAAATCATTTTCTACTCAAGAAATTGTTAACCTTGGGTCAAGAATTGCAGATAATTGAGAAAAATTGCTCTCTAAATGATTTAAATTCATCGAAAATTGTCCAATCAACTTTCTCAATCACTGTGAGACTATTTAATCTACTTAGAGAAGAAACTAAATTAGCTCTTAGTTTACCTGCAACTATCGAAGATTTAAATGGAGAGGACAATTATGTCTCATGTTTACCGAATCAATTATTTGAAGACCTAATTCATGAAGAAAATCCAACATCATATCAACTCAAGGTGAGAATCGAATATCATTATTATTATTCTAAATCAAATTCTAAACCTACAATTCTCTTCCTCTAGAGTTTAATGCAATTGGTGAGGATTCAACAGTCAGAATATCTCAGGAGGATTCTGTGTGCTCATATTTCAGGAACTCTCAAAGGTGAATACTTGATTCATTCCTTTGTGATGACGATTCGAATTCACTTTTACATGAAAGTATCACATTCACCGAATATGTGTATTATTGTACTTTCGTTGATCACCATAAACTTCACACCCACACTGTGTTGGTGTGGGTTGACCATTCGTCCAAGTTGATATTATATATTTTCTATCTTATGAATTTGATTCTTTTTCAGAAAAGTGCCAAACTCTTACCCGTATCACGAATTCTTTACAAAGGTGTAAAGATAAAATTTTACCTGAATTTTCAAGATTAAAATCCTTATATGCTTACCATCAATCGTCATGTTACAAACAAAGCGAAGCTCAAACTCCAGTGCCTTTAAACGCTGCAACTTTCGATATCAATTACTCTTTAAGATCAATTCGTCTTCATCTTCAGGCTGCACTTTTATTGTAAGTGGAAGGAACAAAATTTATTCAAAAGATTGATTCTAATTACAATTTCCTTTTTCAGACTAAACAAGATCGAAAGTTTATCCACCCAAGATGTGAATCTCAAGCATTACTGTATCATGGATGATGTTTCCAGGATAGAGAAAGAACTCAATCTGGGAACGGAGAGTTTGAAAGCCTTTTCGAAAAAACTTCGAAAAAATGGTAAATTCTATTGTACTTTTCTTTCCTAGAATTTTATCTAATCTTATTATTGTTTTTCTATTCTATTCAGATAATACAGAATCTTTCAAACCTCTAAAAGCTCCTGAATGTGATCCCGAAAATGAATCTCAACCTGTGATAATTGGTGAAAATTTTCAACCAACGATTGAAGATCAAGTATTTGAACTATTCATCGACGATGATGATTGTCTAAATTGTCAATATCAAGATGATATCGACGTAAGTTTAGTTCCTTGCACAAAATTTGATTTCTTTATGAAATTATTGATATAATATTAATTTTCTCTCCCCAATTAGGAATCTCCCATTATGGTTGACGATTTTACCACAATTTCGTCCAATTTATTTCAAGAACTTAAAACTGCTCTCATACCCAAAGCCGAAGAAACCAGGGAACGAGAAGCAAAAGCCTTAGGAATACCCAAAGAAGAAGTGCCTATGCAATTAATCAATGATTACAATTTAAAATCTAAAGAAGGACCAAAAATACCTCAATCAATGAGACAAGAAACTGAATTAGCTAATTTTTTCATTTCCAATAACAATTTAACATCAGCATTAGCTACAAGAGCTGCTCAAATTAGCAAAGATCTCAAGCTGAACAGAAGCGAGGAATGTTTCGGCGATAGTGATAACGACGATATAACCGATAACGAACTGATTTGTACCTGAATAATTTAATAGCTCACCAGGAATAAGCTATTATCCACCACTGTGATTTAGAAATTTTAATTCAATTAATGTCTTCCAATTAGACTTCTAACTTGATTGTTTATTTTTCTCTTTTAAAGTTACAAGTTTATCTCATGAAAAGTTGACATTTTATACAAAGTATTTTCTTTTAACAAGACAAACAATCATTACGATTAACATTTCATGAGATTTTCAGAGCTCACGATGAAAAAAACCCAATGGATAAAGATGAAATTGAAAACATGTAATTAGTAATACATATGAGTTTAAATGAAATGAAATTGTTGTTACTCACGTTTGATTAATCAATAGATTTTAATCAATCCCAAGTCGTTGATTTTCTTGAACAATTTGCTGTATCAGTAAATCCTCCTCGTACTTGGTTAAACCAGGACGAACACAACAATCACAACGTTGATTATTTTTACAATAGACAAGCGCTTCTGGTCTTACCGAAAGCGCTTTCATGACTCGAAAAGTATCAGTGTTACATTCAGTTCGATAACATTCATCCTGATCATCATTCTCATCATTTACTGGATAAATTTTTCCTTTCGACTCGAAAAGTAGATCATTATTATTACGATTAACCATTGGACCATTGTAACCATAGGAAGATCTCTTTGGCATAAAAGGATGAACATCATAAGGATTGAATGGAGTTTCATCAATTGCATAAGATTTAACCGGATCAACGAAATTGGAAACAATCAAAGTCACCATAAACCACAACAACAACAACAATTTAACTTCTTTTATCATGATGATGATAAAAAAACTAAATCAAAATCAGAAAAAGAAGACGAGAAAGAAAAAGTAATCAAACAACAATTCTGACAATCAAGTTAACAGAATTAAAGGAGAATCAGAATATAAAATGGTCAACCACTTATATACCTTGTCGAAAATGTTAAATACTCTGTAAACCCATATTCCACATCGGAAAATGTACATTTATCTTGCTCGAAATTTTCTATTACCTTTAATCCAACGATAAATGTACATACGGGCAACTGACAGTTTATCTCATTACCTGTTCTCTTAAATATATATAAGATATTTTGTTCTTATTCTGTAATAATAATCAATTGTTCCCTCATGGATCCAATGAAACCTTGTCATGGGAATGATTTATATTCAAGTTTAAGTTTTGTTATCCATTGTTAGGAATCACAAATGACCTTGCAAAGGAAATGATTGGTAGTTAATTTTTTCTTTCTCTAATAATATTCAATCAGAGTGAACAGTTATATTGAAACTTTTATCGATCAACTGTCATTCCAAAGGTTTCTCTTGATTATCTCATCTTAACGGTTCTTTTTTTTATATTTTTCTCTGTTCCTTTGGTTTTGTCAAATATCCTCATTAAATGAAAGAGGTTTCAACCTACACTTATATTAACATTGTCTTACAACCAATTTAGATGAAAGTAATTCGATGAGAGTTATCATTTAAAGGTAATCATGTTCACATGAAATTGAACCATTAATAGTTGGTAAAAGTGGTGAATTATATTCAACTTTAATGGTCTTGATTGTCAACAATTTGTAGGGAATGTTGGGATTGACCTTGAGCTCGAATTTAATATAAGGAGAAGAAGAAAGATTTTATTGATTTATTGTGATAACGAATAGAAGATGATGATGATGGTGATGAGGAAGATGAGAATTGAGAGTAAGTTGAAGAAGGAAGAAAGAAGATGCAAAAAGAATAGAAAATTCTGTTTGGAGGCCAAAAAAGAAGGATTTGCTTCTGATTCTTTTAGGATTCCAAAGTGAATCATGAGAAAAAAAAGAAAAGAGTGTTTAACAGGGAGAGAAACTGAAGAAGATACAAATATGATGTAAGATGGAATAAAGAACAAGTCGGATGAGGATGAAGATGATGGAAATGACATTAACTTGGACGACTTAATAACTAGTATGGAATAATAAGGTAAAGATTTTGAGAATATATTGACTGATAGGTAAGAGGTAATGGTTTAGGCGACAAAAGCGAAAGTGGAAAGTGAGAAAAATGGAGCAAGAGAAGAGAGAGAATCTTTCATGTTTACCTTTTTGGAATAACCAGGAAAACTCAGAATTTGGGATAAATAGAGAAAAAAGTGGTTTCGAGTATGTCAAGAAGGAAGAAAGAAAAGTAAAGAGAGAAAGAGAATAGAAAGAGAATAGAAAAATAATACTGAAGGAGGAGCAATTCCAAGTCATTTTCATGTATCATGAACAAGTGAATGTGAATGAATGAGTTTACAAAGAGAACATCTAATGATAAACCGAATTTCACTTTTTCTCTTTTTCTATTCGCATTTATTTATCATCTCTATTAAAATGAATTTAAGTTAATTCAGTTAATCGATAATGTTTACACTCCATCATTTGTGTTCCTCTGATTACCAATACGTTTTCCTTTCCATGTTAACCATTGACTCTCTTTGTGTCCATTACAATTGCCTAAGAGAATAGAAAACATTGTAATGATAATTTTCTTCGAGTGCCTCAAACATTAAGTGCTCTCTCTCTCTCTCTCTCATTCTTAATTCTAATAATTCACTTTACAGTTATTTTCGATCTCAATTATCTTGTTCTTTTTTTTTCGAACAAAAAAAATCCTCTGTTTGAGAGATCAGCATTTAGCTTTCTATCCAATTTTCAGCTTATCCATTTCTCTGATTATCCAAATTCAACCATAACATCTAAAGTGCTAATCAGCTATTCATTTGTGTGATCAATACTTTCTGATGATATTCAATTGCTCCATTTCAACATAATCATCATCGTTATCATATCATCATGTGAAGTAATGAATAATCATCTGAATTTATCTTCATCATCAATAATAGTGTAACAATAATCAACTACATGACCAATAATAAGGTCTCATTACTGGAGTAACATCATTATCATCAACGAGAAAAGCAAAATAATTAGTCCTTAAATGCCTCTTACAAGCAATAATCAATTAATTGATGAGCTCAAGATCAATTAATTAATTGGTTGGAATAACAAATCGTCAATCGAAGCTCAGTGAGTCGAAAGAAATTTGGAACCAAAGAGAGAACCCAAATATCTTCTAATATTCAAAATCTACGAGATAAAACTGAGCAAAGAAAAAACCGAAAAAGTAAATTACCCAAGTGCTCATTTCAACGACAATTCGAATAACCTTTTTTTTTCGAACCTTCATATCAGTGAATCAACCAGATTTCCATGATAATATTCGAACAATTCTAAACTGGACAATCCATTGGATAGAATAAGAAGAAGAAAAAGAAAAAAAAATGTAATGACAAGAAAGAAACCAAAAGACCCGCGAAAACAAATTAATTGATCTTCAATTAGCTCAACATTAAAATTACTGTTCATTTGGTTAATCAAAGTGATTTAGATACAAAAAAAAAGAAAAATCTATCATTCATCTTGACAATTAATCGATAGTTAAATAATTTATCGATACAATGGCTGAAAGAAAGAACAAATTTCTTTGTGTTAAATATTTTCTAATGGCGTCCAATGCTTTCGGTGTCATGCTCGGCATATTCGTAGTGCTTTTCGGATTAGCTTATTCCATGGAAACTTTTCCCGGAGGCTATAAAGGTCGAACCTGTGCCATTGCCTCAGTTGTATTCATCTTTTTCGCCCTAATAGGCTATTGTGGTGCTCACCATCAGAAGATTGTTTTCCTGTTAATTTATTCTGTAATTATTTTCCTTTTCGTTATTTCAAATGCTCTAATTTGGATAATCGCCCCACAAGAATCTTTACTTGATTCACATTCGAAAACGGTGATTCTCATGGGACTTTTATTCATTGGCCTAATGTTTGCAGCAATTGTACTCTCCTGGCATCTAAAATATGCAACTGATTACGTTGAAGAGGAAGAATTAAATGAGAAAACGATGATCAACAAACCAGGAACGATAACGTTTAATTCAATCCAACGAATTAGAACTCGAAGCTTCTCTGAGCCTTCTTATTGAAAATCAATCACCAAGATTGTATTGTGAATATAAACACTGTGCATATATAAAATGTATATCAGTTCAATTTCCACCACCATGATAATCTCACCATCAGCATCCTCATCTCATCATTTCCATCATCAACAGTCATGATAATATATTACAACGAGAAAATAAGAAGGAGACTTGAAGCTAAATGGGAAAGATTCACCTTCTATGTTGTGATTGATTTGGTTTGTGGTCATTTCTGTTTGCCAATGGGAATGTGATTCTAGTCTGAAAATACTAAAGTTACCATCAGAAAATGGTAACAAAAGTCAATATCAATTGTTGTTGACGAGAATATAAATAATCATAACCTGCCCTGTAATCTGAACTTTCATTTTCCTGCCTTTCCTTTTTCATTGCTTCATGAAAAATTCAGTCTTTCAACTTAAATTTCCCAAATTCAATTGTTTACTATTGGGAGAGAGAGAGAGAAACAGATAACAAAAGAAAGTTAGATCGATTTTCTCGATTGTCGATTGGTCCAAATCACGAAGGTACAACAACAATTATTATTATTAAGCTAACAAACAAATGATTATCCGCCTTGTGTTATACTAAATGCAACTTTAATCAACAATAATTCATCGTAATCTTTTATCATGATGATCCATCATGAGTTGTTAATGTCAATCAATGTTGAATATTACCAATGGTTAATCAAGTCAAGTTACATTCTTAATGGTTCTGAATCATGAATCATATCATCATCATCATCATCATCATTTCTTCTTCATGTAAATTAGCAATATTTGCAAGAGTAATCAAGAGAAAAGTGAATCAAGAACAGAATCAGACAAAAGCTTCCCAAATAATAATGATAACATGATTTGATAACATCCACAGAAAATGTAAATCAGTTGGGTTGATATAATATGTATCTTGAGACCTGAGTTGATAATATTATGATATTTTATATACAGAATTCAAATGAACTTGTGTTGTTGACGATTCTCAGAATTTTATATATATAAATAATTGGAAAAGATGATGAGAAAAAAAAGGGAAAAGTAGAACAACAGATTCGAGGAGGAGAGAGATGAAGGTGGAGTTGAAGGATGGAAAAGAATAAGAAAAAGGATAAATTGTTCTAAGTTGATATGATTCCAGGCGATGAATTGAATAAGAGAAATGAAACGAAATCGAATATGAATAAACAGTTATGATGATAATCAGGTTTCATTAGAATATTAATAAAAGAGATTATGTATTAGGTTGATAGACTTTAATTCTTATGTTTATCATGAGAAATCCTTCAAGTTTCGTAGCACTTTTTTCTTCCTCAGTTTACCATCAAATAGAAACTGAATTTCGTCCAAAGGAACGAAAAAAATTCTCTTTTTGATTCACTAGAAAAATAGAATATTATTGATTTACTTTTCACCTTTCACCTTGCTGAGTTCTAGTGAACATATAACATGGAGAAACTGGAAAAAACTGAGAGAATTGAAAGAAAAGACTGAGAATGGAAAACTGATAAAATGATAAAAATCAAAGTTCGAAAGGAAAAATGATAATATTCATGTGGAGTAAATTTTCATGGTGATTTACATGAATGAAAGAATAGCTCATGAAAATTATCAATCAGATTGGGTAAATCAATATTATCAATAACAATAAACACCATCGATTGATTAGTTGATCACTTTCGAGATTGTAACTATTGATAATTGAATTTAAATCGACAATAATAATAATGGTAATTGATTTTATCTTCAATTCAATAAAATGAAAACAAGATTAGATTAACAAGTGAAAATCAAGTTAATTAAGTTAATGGTGATGATGATGATGATAGACAATTAGATGTTAATTGTTTAATCTAATCAGAGGTGGAGGAGAAATTGCCTTGAATTTGATTGGGAGAAATGAAATTTATTCATGATTAGATTAACATGATGATATTAATGATCTGAATTTGAGACAGAATGATGATCTTACATGATTAATGGTAACAATTAACATTGATTAACATTGAAATTAACTTTGAAAACAAGTCTTCCAATCTCTTATGAGAATCAATCATTAGCTGCTAATTGTTTCAATTAATATATATACATAAAAAAACAAAACGGTGTAATCAAATTAGATTTAATCAACAATCAAGAAATGAAAAGCTCATGAAAACAAAATCAACTTGAGATTAACATTGTAAATATTATTGCTAATTAACTCTTAAATCACAATCATTTTAATCAAGAAAAAGACGAAAATTATAAAGAAAGTAATTAAGATTAAGAACAGACCAATTAACTAAATTAACATTTACAATTACACATTTTAAATTTAATCATTTGCAATCTAATTAAATTACTACACCTCAGCTCTTTCACTATTATCAATACAAATCACTTGATTCCTTAAAATTGATTCAATAACAATCAGTTAATTGTAATTATCATCAGAAACGATTGTCAAATGAAACTCTCATTATTTAATTAATAAATCAAATCAATTAAATGTAAACAAAAATTAAATGAAAATTAATCAATTGAAATAAAAAAAAAACTACAACAACAACAATTAAGAGAAACTATTTCAATCCAAATGTGAATGAAAAAATTAATTGGAAAACGTTGATTGTGACAATCAATAAATCAGTGAATAGAAATTAATTGAAACAATATAACAAAAAATAATGGATCCAAATTAATTGATTAACTTTTGGTTAAGTCAAACTGATTAATTGTCGTTTGTGATTTAACTTCTTTGCCTCTATCAATGAAAACAATTAATCGATCCATTGGAAATTAATATCCAACAATTAACTTCTCAACCATTTCTATCAGATAACAATACAGATAAACTCATTAATTACTAAATTACAAGATTAATTATTATAAATGTTTCTTTTTGAGCTCATTTTTCATCAAATTCATGATCATGAAAACTGAAAATGAATCTGAATGAAATCAGAAAATAGCCTCAGGGAATTGAGCTGATTAACATGAAGGTAATAACAATGAAATGTTCACAAATGGATAACTATTCATAATATAATTAGATAACCTGAATACGAATCGTTAGTTGGAAGATAATTATTATAATAATAATTTTATCGATAAATTTACTCATCAATTTTACCAAATGATGATTAGTTCTGAAAAATCAGCTATTCATTGAATAGAATTTTTTTCCTCACAATTTTATAAATAAAATCTTCAACTTCAGGATTATCATAATGTAGAATCCATAATAATGATGGAAAGAATTGGTTAGAATGAATAACCCGACCATTAGAACTTTTCTCCCTCTCTGTAATAATATCGAATTCATGATGATTATTCTGAAGAGAAAATTTATTCCAATGATCATAAATATCCACGATTCCTAATTGATTTAACTCTAATATCTTTTTCTTTTCATTTACTTCTGTTTCCACAATATCTTTTAATGAACTTTCATCATGAGATAATATGAGAATTCCAATACGCAAACTCATTCTAATTATCGGGAAAATCACCATGATAATTGTCACACTGAGAATCGGCTCAGTTTCATGAGGTATAAGAACAATGAATCCAATTAAGAAAATATTACAATTTAAAATTCCATCTACAATAATTAACCTCATTTTCGAAAGTTGTAATCATCATTTAACCGCAGATCATTTGGTTAGAACTAAATTTAAAGTTCGATCCAATCAATTTATCCATTTTCTAATGGGACAATTAACCCAATTGTAATAAAAGAAAAGTGAACACGTTATTTATATTTCTCAATGGAATTGAATAATTGTTTCGGTAACAATTTTCCTTTATTGTGGTTAAAAATTGCAATTGATTAATTTTTGGAAAATGATGCATAAATTGTCAACAGATTATCATCTCTTGCGATTTAATTTCGAGAGAGATTTAAATATATATAAGCTCACGATACTTCGGTTAGCACAGAATTTTCATCGATTAAGCCAATTTACTTGATTCGATTGTAATAATAGTTACAAACATGTTAATTGTCTTTCAATTTAAATTTGAGGAGAAACAAATTGAAAGGGCACAATATGAGAAGAGGGTATTCAAGATGACGAAGATGAAACTGTGATAATCGAAGGGAATGGAAAACACAATCAAATTCTTCTAATGGTTAATTAAATGTGATCATTAAATGAGAGACGATAAGAAAACCAATTGACCAGGAAGTAATTAATTCTTTAGATGATGAATCTGCCATTGATTCTGTTAAATCGTCGGTAGTTGTTACTCCATCTTCGGTTTGCATTGTAATTTGTTCCGATGGAATATCGTTTTTGTATGAATTCGTTTTGAATGAAGCAAAATTTAATTTTTCTAACGAAAAAAGAAAACAGAAAATGTTATTAAAATATTAGCTCGATATCGATATCTATTAATGATAATGCTCAGAATTATTGGTTTACCTTTATCACTGGAATCAGAATTGAGCGAATTTTTTGTATTACCAAGATAATTTTTTCTATTTTTTGTAACTTCTTTACTCGGTGGACTTGTTATACTATTAATAACTGCCCGTTGGGTCGATGGACGTGGTATCTCAAATAGGACAATCGTTCCTGAGGCTTCACTTAGTACGTTTTTACCAACGCAACTGTAACTGGTAAAATCTTGATAATCGACATTCTTTATGGTTAAAGTGACCTCGTACTTGAATGAATTAGATGTGATTGATGTTGAATATTTAGAATTGTCCAAAATAATTTGTCGTGTCGATGTTTTCATCCAATAACAATCGGGTTTGGGATAAGCATCAACAATACAATTTAAAGTGACTTCTCCGTTTAAAGGTGACCCAACACGTTGTAACGGTGTCCAGACAAGAGGTGGAACTGTATTGATCAAATTACGAAAGAGAAAAAGAAAAAATTAATCAACAGAAATTAAATCAATTACAAATTCTAATCAACCAAATTAACCCACTTTTGGGTTAAAATGATTAAATTTTTTTCTCTCTGTTTACATCTACAGTTTCTTTCTACGGTTACAGATGGCGACACTTTCCACGAACTTAACAACAATTAAGTAAATTGTTTGTTAAATTAAAATTTTCTCGTGCAAACGATAACATTATGGAAGAATTGAATTTAGATTTATGTTTGTTATTATTGTTTAATATGAATGACAATCTGATCCAATTAATTTGAATAAATTTGCAAATGAAAAGTAACTGGTAACTTTTTTTTTCTCATTCGAGACTCGAAACTTTTCATCATTGAAACTCTATTTCTTGAATTGTATTGACTATTGAGCACAGAATTGATTGAAATGACAAGCATATAGTTAATATCTGAATAATATTCAACAGAAACTATGATATCAATTTCAATCTTCGAATTTTCTGAGAAACAATTGAAATGAGTAACTAAATATTTTGAGAGTTTACTATTGAATTATCATAGAAATGATATTAAAGTCTTGGAGAAAAAAATTTCCGTTTTTCAAAATGTTCATCAATGAAAGAAAAACAAACCATTTGAAATAATCATGATTCGAGTAATAAAACTTAATCGATCACAATATTCATTTGATACTCATAATATTCTGATGAATTAAATACTATTATTATTTATTTGAGAGAGAGAGAGAGAGAGAGAGAGAGAGAGACAAGAAAAATGAATGAATCGCAAATTTCCTGCTGATTTAATCAATTTAAAACTAATCGAAATTCACAATAATTTATCTAACCAATTCAACGATTGTGATACTTTGTTGTTGATATTAATTTGGAAAAGTTTATCAACCAGTTTACAAATTCAATAATCACAGAAAGTAATGAATGATAATCATATAAATGCCCAAATGGATAAACAGATAATTCCTGAAAAATTCAGCTAATAATGGTTACAATTTTTTCCCCTGAAAAGTTTTTCACGCATCATCAACCAGTTTCCTCATCAGTTTCATCATCTTCATCTTCATCCTCATCCTCATCCTCATCTCTCTCTTTTTTATCTTCATCTTCGACTCAAGATGATGCTAAGATACAACAATTGATCCAGGGAGCAGAATCTTCAAGTGAGTCTTGTTCCATGATATTATTAATAACATAATTGTTGAAGGCGTAACAAGACATTTTCATGTTGTCATGATAACATTTAAATCAATGTTAATGTTATTATCTTCATCAGAATCTCAATGTCAACCTAATGATAATAATAATTTCAATGGGCTGAGTGATTACAAGATCATTTAAATTGTTCAAAACCAATTCAATACACAGAGTTCTGAAAAGTTCTGATAAAAGTTTCACTCAATTTAATTTAATTCTCAATTTTTCTTGTTCTATTCAACTGATTAATTTCCAGAAAAGAGGTAAAAAAGTTTCCAATGAGTAGAAGTGATTTAGAGAAAAATTAAACATTTCAAATTATCACAATTTTCTTATGGTTTCAATAGATTTAAATTGAGATCAGATGAATGGTGTTAATCTTATGGTTAATCAAATTTGACTCAAAAGAATAAGATTAAAGTTTTGATAAGATTGAAAGTCGATGATCTTGTTGACAGAAAGATAACTCATAGACTCGTAAAGTTCATGTCAAGATTAACGTTGAATAATCTGGAAAAAGTTACCATGAAAGTGATAGATTCATCATGTTGTCCAAATTTCACTTCAATTGAGTTTATTTGTTTGGAGCTTTTTATTTTCATTTTATTGAACAGACAGAAAGATGAGCTCAAAAATGAAGTTTTATTTTCATTGTCAGATTCATGGGATAACTGTAAAGTTTTCCTCTCTCTCTCTCATTGGATTTATCTTCATCTTCTAAAGACAAACATCTTGAACATAATCCTCGAAACAAGTTTTCGTAAGGATCTTGACAAATGAAGATTAAGACGAAAGTGAGAGTACAAATTAAGTGAAAAGAAAGAGGAAGATAACTTGTCATCCATCTAAAATTCTTCTTATATGTTCACTCTTTCATCTTAATCATGAAGATGATGATGATGATGACATATATTATGTACCTGGTTCTTCAACGTTAATCTAACTTTATTGCTCATTCGAAACAGTTTAACCAAAGTGTTTTAACTTTAACAATGATCGCTTCATGTTACCTTGATGACTTACTGATTATTTTAAGAGGATTAATTGTTATCTAGATTTTATCAGTAAATTCAGTTTCTCATTGAATCAATTTATAAATTCCAATACAGAGCATTTTAATATATAATCCAAATACAGGACTGTTCAGCTTTTCTCCGGTGTTTCTTCCGGTAACTAGAAGCCCTAGAGACTTGAACAGGGGAAATTTGAAAGTTACTCAATCGTCTTATTGAAAGATCAAGGTCTTGGGTGAACTAACGTCTTTAAAGTTCATGTGAAAGTAAATTTTAAATTTCAAGGTCATCCTTCAAAGAACGTATTTAGGGATTATTATTAAAGGTTTATTTGGTCACACCATAAATGGGGGACAAGATTATCGTTGAAATTTTGACGGTCTTTATATTGGGATGGCCTGTGATCCAATAGTAAACTATTGAATCGATGTAGTGCCAGGTTATCCTACATGGAATGTGATTGAATATAATACATATTAACAGATTAACAGATAAATATACCAATGGGTCAATAGATATGATTAGACAAGTTGATTCGGGCATCACATGTAAACTTAAACCAATAACCTTTTCGAGACTGGTATTAGAATTTTTTTCCCCTCTCTTTCGTCTTCATCTTCTTAAGCCTTTATTGAATCATTCACCTTTTTCGTTGATTCTCTAAGATGATTATCATCATGATAATAATATACAAATGTATTATATCAGAGATGAGATAAAGTTGGCTTGTTAATCAATCTTAATGAATTCAAAGAAAATATTTACTCTCTCTCTCTCTCTCTCTCTCTCTGCTGTTGAGACGATTCTCAATTTTGGTTAAATTACATATGAAATCTTGATGGTTGATTCAATTGGAAAAGGCTAGTAGAGGTTTGAGCTGGAAAAAAGAATCAGGATTAATCAGAATTTATCTTGTCTCCTCTTTATATACATATAATCATGAACAAGATGAACTTTCCTCAAAGGTTTTCTCATTTTCTAGCAAAGATACTCCTTCAAGTAGTTCAAGATTCCATGTTATTCATGATAAGTAAACTTGACCAAGTTTGACCTGTTATCGGTAATTTGGTCTGTAGATGTGCAAGAATTAGATATTTATAATAGCAATTGAATATTCCGACAATCATCAAGTGGGTTAATCATCAACAAAGATAATGAATCAATGAGAAATCAATGAAAAAAAAACATAAGATCACAGTAAATGAAACCGATTCTTGTTTCAATTCTGATACTCATCCTCATCTTCATCTTTATAATATTATCATCATCTTATCCAGCGAAATTTACATCTCGAATGAATAGAAATGAAATATATAAGAAAGAATAAGATACAAGTCACTTTATCAATCTTTTCCTTTTCCCATATTCAATGAGATTCCTCATCAATATGATCATTATCATCGCCATCATCGTCTCCCTGTTTATCATCCCACTTCTCTCTCTCTCTCACTCACTCATAACAACTAAATCAATCTGGAAAATGAACAAACAAAAATCCTCATTATCTTCATCTTTATCCTCATCATGATTCTATTCAAGTACCAATATAGGTGATGGACAATATACAATTAACTGAATATGATGATAAACATTTCACTTGATACTATGGTGAAGATAATGAGATGATGATGATGATGATACTCAGGCGATCATGAAGATCATGACCAGGGCGAAAATAAATTTTAAAGAATAGGAAGAGAAAAGAAAAAACTTTCAAACTTTAATTTCACTTGAAACTTTCTCAGAATTTCAATTTATATTTTCATCTCCTCCATTAAGTTAACATTATTAATACAATAATGATATTTTTTCAACCTTCTAATGAAATGAAAGTTAATTGATTTGAACATTGACAAAGTTATCAAAGTCAATTAGCTACCACATATTTGAAATACACTTAATCAGTGATTAAATAATTACCTCAAGTAAATGATGATAATAAATCACATCAATCTAATATTATCATTATAATGAAGGAAACATTTTACATCATGTAAATGATTTTTATCTCACAAAGTGAACAATTTGTTTTAACATGAAATTAATTGAAATTGAGAAGATGAAAACAAGTTAATGTTGTTTACAATTGATTAATTGTTTGATAATTTCACAATGATTACATTTGCCTTTTTCTAATTATATATGTAAATCTATTTGATGTCAAGAAAGTAAAACATATCAGACAAAACAAAAAGGTCGTATCAACAACAGTGAGAATCAGATTAACCCGAAAAAATAATTAAACGACAAAACAAACAAAATGATAGTAAACTAATCTTGTTTAACTGTTATTTGATTAATTGATTGTATCAATTGTCTTGTCACAATGATATTAATTGACAAGATAAACAAAAAAAAATGTTGCCTTTCATTGAGGGAAATGGGGGAAAAGATTATTATTATTATTAGAATCAGAATATTATCAGAATCAGAGCAAATCATACAAATATTATATTGAAAAGATAAATAATATTGTTTAATGATGATTATGATAATCGAGATTGGTGATCAATATTCTGAATCACAAAAAGATTATCTCCAAGATGAACAAAAAGAAAACAAAAGTTTATCGACTCGCGTTATTATCATCGTGATCCCAATTTGACCTTATGTTCCTGATGTATATATGAGTTTGCCTCTTGATGACCTTAATATCCTATTTCGAACTGAATTTATCAGAACAATATAAGTACATATATATATATATTGGGAGAATAGACTAAGACAAAAAAAGTATATATTATATGAGGAAACAATGAGAGATGTT